TTTGCGTCCAGTAACAATCTTTTCATTCAAACTTATTTTCGTCCAAATCGAATGTGTGAACCGGTTTTAAAAATTGTATTATAATATTCCTCACCTAAAAATCAAGCCCAACAGAAACTTTGATGTAGAAATAAATTTTTATTCAAAAATTCTCTGTGCATTTTAATCTAAAATCATTATAAAAATGTTAGAAAACGTTTTAAATATGAATAATTAAACCATTGGTTGTTCACTTTGATCTAGAGGCCTACTTAATTTAGTGAATCCGATGGCGGCTTTTGATGACAAAGTAACAAAAGAATGTATCTACTTAATTACAGAATTAAACTATAAATAAATATATACTTTTATCATGAAATAAGATAATATCCGCCATTGTCAATTAGTTAAACAACAAGAGTCATGGAAAATCGGGGTTTCCTCGACTTTGCAAGATCTTATCTTAATGATCAATATAGATAAATGAAATTCTGATAATAAATTCAGATAAATTGATGTATTCTGTCGATCAGTGTATTTGTCAGATTCTAAGATATCTTTATTATTAATCAAAAAACGCATGAAATTTCACAAGATATAATAAACAGCCCCTGAAATTTCTCAATTTTATGAAGCCAGGTAAGAAATATGTGGTGCTTAATTTTATACTATATAACAATTGTAACAAGATTTGCAAAGCTTATCTTTTTCCAGCTCAATGATGATAGATGAATATGAAGATGTCATAGAAACCGTGTCAATGAATCCTCATGTCAAATTAGTCGAGGCTTCTTTAAAAATTAATGGAATAGCAACTTCGATGTGATTCTAGAAAATAACATATCATAATATCTTGCGAGCTTCTAGGCAAATCAGAAAGAAAATTTATATTTTTATCAAAATTTGTTCAAGTATTATTTTATCAGAATTTCAATATACAATATGGCCGTATATCTAATACGTACGTCAATAAGCCCTAATACATAAAAATATATGAAATTTGCTGCTATCTAATCTATACTCCGAATTTCGAAACTGACGATGAAGGAGCCGATAGACCATACGTGAGGATAGCAATATATAGAAATCATAGATATGGATTCCAATAGTAACATTTGTCGAAAACGATAAAACAGGATACTTTAAATAGACTAACACCTGATAATAATTACATTCATATATCGATGCTACAATGTATATAATATAAAAATATATTTCATATCCAGTTGAATTGGCTTAAGAAAGCTTACAAGAATACTGATGAGTTATTTGCAATATGAATGTTGTTAGCTGTAGTTTTTAATATGAGATTTATAATATTATGATTTACTATGTTTCTTCTTCTTTTTGATGTCCATTTCATATTGAATTTCCCTGTATTCATTTCATGGGGAAATTCAACCATACATGAAACAACAAAATATGTTTTTGTCATAAAAAAGATGAGAGACGATATCTACCGTTTGCGGGAGATAAGCCACAGATGACAAGGAAAATTTGGGCTTTCCTTGATTTTGGACGCGTTTTTCTCAATGACCACTATACTTAACCGAAATTCTGATAACGGATTCGGATTCCTCGTTCGAAATTCTAAAAAATTATTATATTTATACGTCTAATTATCATCCGTTCAAAGGCTAAAAGTCGGAAATGTTTGAAATTTTTTCATAAAATGTCAACTTTGATTCTTCATAATACAGAAGGAATAGTTCTTTCTTCTTACATGTTTCGTAGAGTTTTTTCAACATATTGCTATCTTTTTCAAGAGCCAAGCTTACACTTTTTGGTAAGAAAATCTCAAATTCTTCATCAATAGTAATAAGGATGCTAATACCATATTTCATTATCTGCCATCTCAATAAGTAATCAAGTAGGTGTAATTTTTGTCTAATTGCGAAATGGTCTTTTTTTGGTAAAACAGCCAATTTGGAAACCCTATTGATTGAAGAAAAATCCATTCTACAACTAATAAAATGAATAGGTTAATTCAATCTATTTTGTATTAGGAAATAATGAGATAATTGTATATAAAGACAATATTACCATAAAATTATTAGAGATTTACTAGAGGAGAAGAATGAGGATACGACTGCTGTTTCAATTGAGTGTTTAACTTTCCTGAACTTAAGAAAGTTCCTAGTTTTGTTACCAGTATCCTCTTCTCTTCCTTCTTCCTTATCCTTCAACCTTAGTCGCTTTCTAATAGGCTCTTTTTCCTCCCCATTGTAAATATCTTGTTTTGAGCAATATCTGTAATGGTTGGAAAAATCTGAATACTACTCTGGATGCCCTTGCCAGCGGGACTTTACTTTCACCGTACGAATGCGTAAATAAAGGATAGCCTATTGTAATTTTACTTTGTTAAATTACTTGATATCGCCTTGTCACAACCAGACCGAACAATGGACCTGTGAAAGTTAGCGCCAGCTTTTTTCACCAAAACAAAACCTATAAATAATTTTGCAGAGTTCAGCCCAAAGCGCACGGAGGCTTATCACTCTCGCATGGCATCCCTCGTTTAATCAAGCATAGCTGTTTGCACCATTTTGTTCTGATTGGAGACAGAGAAGTGACCGCGAAGATTTTCTTTGTATCAAGTATTGAGCAGTGCGATGACTTAGTCGATAATTGCTTTCCGGCTAATTCGCGAAGTAGTGAGCGAGTGACATTGAACGTTTTGCGTGAAATTTTGAATTTTATTTTGCATGTGATATTTTATTTTACGGTTTGTTATTGTGTTGTCAACACGCGTGGTTCATGTTACGCTGAAGCCCGGAGCTAGTGAAACGGGCAGAAGCCAAAGTTGCTGTGTTAAAATTAAGCGATTATGCTGTAGAGTAGAGCGTGCGGTTATTGCACAGTTGGCGACTGCACGAGCCTAGTGTTTCGGCTATAGGTGAAATTTATGTGGGTGTTCGATTTATGAGTATTTAATTTATGAGTTGTGAAACTCTCAACGGATATTTCTCGGCTGTAACGAATTCCGATAGACAATAACTCAAGGTAAAGCGAGTTTACAGGCAGTTTAAAGTCTTTGTGTTGCGCATTCACACCAAAGTCACCGCTGCTGTTGAACATTGCTTGCGCGCGTTAAACTGTTCTTGATAACATAGAGAACAAACGTGTTTAGGCGTGTTTGAGGTGGAATAGGTCAGAGAACATGAGTAGACTGGGTGTTTGTTTTGTTTTTTGCGTGAGTTCGAGACTAATACGATACCGAAGACGAGATCGTCCAAGCGCCAGAAAGCGGAATAATCGTGTCTGAGGCTAGAAACTTTTATAAGGAGAATTATGAAAATTCCCGCAGTAAAATCAATATAGGAATGCATTCAAAGAATGTAACTCCAAGAGCTTTTGGCTTGGATAACCGTGAACGGAAACAACAAGAACAACAGCAACAAAAGACACCGGCATCAATGACTACACATGCACACACACACACACACATACAAACACACTCAACGATAAGCAGCAACAGAGACATCAACGACAGCAATGGACTGAGAAGCACGACGGAGAGGAGTAAGGCAGGTGGACGAGGTCGAATCTTCGGTTTTCTCTTTCTCTCTCTCGCATATTCCGGGTATTATTGCTACGCGGGCAGCGTAGCAGATCTGTCAGCTACCTCGCCGATCGCGAACGTTGTCGAATTTTTTCTTTGTTATGGATGTCGATTTGAATATTTCGAAGGGCGAAAGTAGTAGGGAAGGCAGATCGGGTGACAGTTCTGCCACCAATTCATGCTTCATCGCGAGCGCGAAGATACCTCTCGAACGTAAACGATTCGGGAATATTGTTGTTGTTACGTTTTTTTATTGGTTTGTTTATTTTGATCAATATGTTGTTTGTCTGCAATTGACATCCTATTGATCTTAAGATTAATACAGTAAGAACTCGTAATCATATTCCATATCTCTCTGAATTTGTTTCTCTTTTGTGCTTATTTTGAACTCCGCGAAACATATATCAAAAAACACCCGGTATATAAACGACGGTTAGTCTCGCAGCGAGAGACGATTCATATCTTAGCAATGTTAAATAATAATTTATTTAACACACCATTACAATTTATTTCATGTAAATATTTTTTTTGATCTTGTTTAATATGAGTATAGTAAAAAATAAAATTTTTAAATATGTTAGAAATATTCTTTATATAAAACTTATTAAAATAATTACAAATTGTTTACCTACATCATAATATAAAAAACTGGTATTATTTTGTAAAGTATAAAAATTTACTTTATTTTGTACCTGTATAATTTTTGCACGTGTTTATATATATTATTGAAATTTGAAATTATTCTCTTAAAAAAGAAAATCTAATCGAAAAATTAGAAAACAAAAATTTCTTTGACAAAGTTATTAATACTGCATTCTAATTTGCATTGTATAGAAAATATATAAGATTTTCGATGAAAGATAATTTTTACAAAAAGATCTTTAATATAATAAAAAATAAGATAAAAATAAAATTCAAACTCTAATTTCAAAGTTTTCACGCTGACCTTTGAAAAGGCTTTACATTTTTTTCAATACGATTATGACCAACTGCCATGCAAGCGATATAAGATGATAAAAAATTTTTGTTAACTTTGACGAATTTATGTATCCGTAACATAGTCTTAAGTATCGTAAAAAAATGTTATTCACAGTATATTGTAAAGGCATCACAACAGTTTTCCAATGAATGGTATATAATTTTGTTCTATGACATCGAACCTGAAATAAAAAGGGTTTTCAAATATGTAGTTATTTTTTTTGAGTAAGTTTAATCTATTGTAGGGTAGTGTATAGTTTACTCAACAGAAACATTGACATAAAGTTTTTGGAAGTTATAAATAATAAAATAACTTTCGAAGATTTCGGGAATAGCCATATTTTTGTAGATAAGTGTTGTAAGCTATCACATTTTGTTGTAAATTTCAAGTCTACTCGCATGCAAACCGATATCAGATCCCTGGATATTTTTTTTATTATTAAGTAAACAATTACCAATGAATTTAATATTTCTGCCTTACATATAATAAATGGAATTTGATAAACAGCTGGAATCGTTAATCCGACCACCGCACGGGTAGCTGCCCAACTCCAAAAATCAATAGCTACTGCTGTTAGAACCGCTCCAATGATCAATATAGCCAAACATGCAAAGAACGATAACCTTCGTCCAAATCTGCAATAAATTCATAGAAAATAAATGAATTAATCGATGTTCCAGCAGCTATAAAATATTTTATATAAATACAAAATAAACACCTTTAATCATGATATAATATAGATCTGCAAAATATAAAGTTGTGACTGTTATGGAGTAGCTGATAGACATTTCCGAAATAATTTTCGGCGTAGAACTTAAATTTAGGCTCAGAATTACTTCATCATGTCAGATTTTTGAGTAATCCTAACTTAAAAATGCGAGAAACACAGTTATTCGCCATATTTGAGCTGAGCATCCATAACATCGCCATTTTTTATTATTTTTCAAATCTGAAATAACCATCAGAAAGGGCTACTTTCTAGTTTTTCATAACACTATTTATATGTATAATTATCATTTCTTAAACCGCAGATATCATCGGTTGAAAAGAACTTAATTACAGGTTTCGCAATGACCGATACACGAAAGGAAAAAATGACAGGACGTGTAAGTTCCTTTGACAAATATTTGTTGAACGAGGCATTATATTAACAAAAAGTCTTAAATAGCTGGTAGTGCTCGGTATATAAAGCCTTAATAAGCTATAATCCCATAACCTCAAACACAATAACATTAAGCCCACGACAGATAGGACTCTATTGTTGTAAACCGAAATAAGTCATAACTCCAAAAAGTAATAACATCAAACCCACGACAGATAGGGTTCTGCTGTTTCAAACCTGAGTATGCTGTTATTTTTACCATTCATATATCGGTCATTGCGAAACCTGTAATTTTGTTCTTTCCAATTGACGATATCTCCAGTTTAATAAATGATAATCATATATATACATAGTGATATGGAAAGCTGAAGAATAGCCCTTCCTGATAGTTAGTTTGGATTTGAAAAATAATAAAAAATGGCGATATTATGAATGGTCAGATATGGCGAATAACCGTATTTTTCGCACTTTTAGGTAAGGATTACTCAAAAACCTTACGTGACGGAGTAATTCTAGATACAGATTTGAGTTTTACGTCGAATATCACTTCGGAAATGGCTATTATCTAGTCTATAGTAAAAATATGGTGACCTGTGATAATTCTAGCTAATAATTTAAGACACCACAAATCCGGGTCATTTTGTTTAATATTAATACATAGTTGTTACAGTATAAATCAGAAATTTTCATGTTTATTCCATAGATCTTTTTCAGCTTTTATAGCGGTTCAGAAATACCCGAAAGTAAGTGTATTAGAAGCCGGTAACCACATATTCTGTGTCTAAAAGTTTCACTTATAGACACTTTTTGAACAATGTTTTGTATACATTTTCGCGTGTGCATTATATTAAATCATTTTTTATAATTAATATATAGCACACGAATACTTTTATAGGACCAAATCAATATGGTGAGATACAAGGTAATATTGTATTATCTTTGTATTTTAAGATGCTATACTTTATTCTGAGATTATAATACAACTCGTAACTTTTCGGTAAGTGCGGACTATTATGTAAAATGCCACATTCATACTTTACTTCGTATATATCGTAATACATTGTAACGTTTGATCTTTATCCTATGTTATATAAATAAATAGTTCAGACTCTAAGATGTAATGATAATCGCGTTTTCGAGAGTAAGCAAGAAGTTGACACGTGTAAGTACTTTGTGTTTTGATACTGTTACGACCATCGAATAGCGAAAATAGTGTTATCCACGAAATTCGCTGTTTCGATGGGCCGTTTGAAATACAAGTAAGTACAGTTACATCTTTCGAGGAAAAGCCCGACAACGCTGCAACGAATACTTAGTCCAATTTCTAAGCAATATTAATTTTGAAAGAGGAAATAGTCTAAGGCTGATTTTTTCTCATAAGAGAGAAAGTCTTATGAATTCAGCGCTTAGATTATTATATAGAAAAGGAATAACAGGGTTAACCACTGAATAATGAAATTCGATCTCAGAAATACGTCGGAGTCCGTCGAAATCTAGGCGTCAATAAGCCTACATATTTACATCATTTGATAGTCAAGCTTCTCCATTATTTTCAGCGGCATCTATAACCAAGGAGAGCGCATAGCTTATTTTATTTACAATGAATTGAACTACTATTACATTGTACATTATATATTTTTACTGTAAATATGTCCAGTTTTTAGAGAAATAAGGAAACGCGTAAGACCTATCTGACTTGAGAAAGTATGTATGCATACCTGTATCGTTATTCATATTGTAGAATAAATGAACTTGACAAGATTGCGAGCGTTTAGTAGGATATTCGATAGTCAGTCTCGAGGAAAACTTCGAGCTATTAATGAAGTCTCCTTTCTTCCTTCCTTACTTCTGTTTTAAATTTTTATAGAAAAACTTCTTTTATATATATTTTGATATATAACATATATTTATATGTACGTAAGCAGTAAGGTTCTAGGCTAATCTATGCAGCGAAGTTAAGTTTTTGGGATTTTTTCGAGTTCTGGAACATTTCCGAAAAAGTATACACAATGCCTAACCTTCCACGACATACCGGAAATTATATAATAATAACCCAAAATTGAAACATACGAGGTGTGATCAAAAAGTAAGGTGAATTTTTATTTTTCTCAAAAAATATTTATTTATTCATGAATTTTTTTTTTATCTCCTTCAAAGTAATCCCCCTCGGATATAATGCACTTGTGCCAACGCTTGTGCCAATCCTCAAAGCATTTCAAAAAATCATTTTTTGTGATCTTGTTTAGTTCATCCTTCGATGCCGTCTTTATCTCCTCAATCGTGGCAAAACGCCGTCCTTTCATGGGCCTCTTCAGTTTTGAGAACAAGAAGAAGTCACAGGGGGCCAGATCTGGGGAATACGGTGCCTGTGGCATCGTTACGGTTTTAGCCAAAAATTCGCGCACAAGCAACGATGTGTGAGCAGGGGTGTTAGGATGGTGCAAAAGCCAATTTTTATTTTTCCACAAATTCGGACGTTTCTGGCGGATTGCTTCGCGCAAATTGCGCATAACTTGCAGGTAATATTCCTTATTTACTGTTCTACCCTGTGGCAACAACTCATGATGCACCACGCCCCTGCAGTCAAAGAAAACTGTAAGCAAAACCTTTACATTTGATCGAACTAGGCGTGCTTTTTTTGGTCTTGGTGATCCAGAATGCCTCCACTGGGACGATTGAGTCATAGACTCGACGTCATAACCGTATACCCATGTTTCGTCACCTGTTATAACCCTGTTGAGTAAATCTGGATCATCGTTGACGTCATTCAGTAGCTCTTGGGCGATGCTCATGCGACGTTTCTTTTGGTCGAAATTGAGCGATTTCGGAACAAACTTCGCTGACACACGTCTCATGTCTAAAACACTCGTCAAAATTGATTGGCACGAACCAAATGAGATGCCAATATCATCAGCAATTTCTCTAATGGTAATTCGACGATATCCCAACACTATTTTCTTCACTTCTTCAACATTCTCATCGGTTGTTGATGTGCTGGGGCGTCTAGAACGAGGTTCGTCGTCGGTGTCTTCTCGGCCTTCTTGCAAGAGTTTATACCACTTGTAAACATTTTTTTGGCTTAAAGTAGACTCACCGTATGCCACTTTCAGCATTTCAAGTATTTTGGAAGATTTGATTTCATTTTTCACACAAAATTTAATGCAAACTCTTTGATCCATGTTTTTAGACAGCAGCAAATCGTGGAGCACGCAAAACACTTCTAACCTTGATGCCTCTCACAAACAAACCAAACATACTACAAAGCTGAAATTTGGAACGTATGTTTTAGACGAGTGTACCGACATAACCAAATAAAAAAGACGAAGATCGAACGGACGTAGCCCGCTAAATTTCAAAATTCACCTTACTTTTTGATCACACACTAGCTAGTTTCTAGGACACCTAAGATTTTTATAGAACAATTTTTGAGCTGATAAGGCTGAAGGTAGGCTGAACTGAAGGTTCCAAGACGTATGATTTTATCATTTAAAAAAAGTTTATTCTATAAATACATACATTTATGACATTACCAACGTTGAATTAGATATTGAATCGGGATTATTAACGTTTTAGCTTTTAAATAACCTGTGTCCCAGCGTTTTTCTGCATAAATGCTTAGACAAGAATTATGGAGCCTTACATTGAAAATTGTAACGGGGAATCTCAGTCGTCCGTGTTTGGATAGCTCTCGACTGCCCGTACGAATTTTTTAATTAGGGATTCGGGAAGGTAGAATCGTTCCCACGGCTAAATAACGCGTCGAGCACATGCTTTAATCGTACGCGGACTATTGCACGGGTACAGGAGTGACTGTGAGGGTAAATAAAGGAGGCGGAACCTAAATGAAATAATGGTCTTTAATAATAATAATAACAATAGAAAAATGATAAGCTAAACTTAAACGCGGAAACTAATCGAACAAAAGGAATGACAACGGAAAGGACACAAAGGAATGACATGAACAAAATTAAATGATCGGCGAATATGAACTACGGAAAATTACAAATAAAGAAAATTACCAAATAATCTAAATAAACAAATGGTAGAAAATAAAAAATAAGGAAAAATACAAAATAAAGAAAATTACAAAATAAACGAAATAAACAAATGGTAGAAAATACAAAATAAGGAAAAATACAAAATAAAGAAAATTACAAAATAAAGAAGACTTCGCTGTGTACGAACAACGACCGCCCGAACACAACAAGCGCGACCTCGCAATCGGCAGAGCTGCCGAACTGCGAGGTGTCTGTTCGGCGCCTCGGATAAGAGAGAGAGAGAAAGAGAAACACTGCACCGACCTTGCCTCGAGTCGACTTAGATTCTCTGTCAAACGTCCTTGTCCCTGTAGATCCCGAAGTTAGATACTCTGGAAAGAAAACAAAGGCAACGGCTAGGTAAAAAGTCTCCTTCGGCTCCTCGAATGCCCTCTCGGTGAGGCTTTTGTTATTGTCGCTGTTCTCGTTGTTCCGGTTGGCGTTGTTAATGATGTTCTTGTTGTTGTCCCCGTCCTCGTTGTTAGTGATGTTATTG